CCTCCAAATCCAACGGTGTTTGGCACACCTACAGAATCATGACCAATTTTATGTCTAGTAGAACGCTGGACTCATCAAAAAGTCTTAAACTCTCTTACATTTACTAATTTATTTAATTCTTTTTAATTAATCAACCCTTTCATTCGTTCTTTGTTTATATCTTGTCCAATCTAGTTTTACTTACGAGTTTCAATGTACCTGGCGCAGTTTTACGTTTGGAATGTACATCAGAGTAAGAGCTTTTCCATAGTCATAGAAAAAGTTACCACTGTGTTGTGTAGAAGTTTGATGTTTGATAGTTGGAGTGACAGCAAGCTGGTTCTCCAACAATGTTGAACAATTTTTTAGATCAAAATACAAAGGCATCGTTTTATTTTCTGTTTTCAGATACCAGAATAAGAAATTTTGCGAAGTTCCACGCGAAAGGCCATTATACATAAATACAGTTGGCTTATCTTACGAATGTGCTAGAAAACAGACGTAGATGAGCCATTTGGCGCTTTGAACCCAACGGAACAAATCTCTCGAAACAATTATTGTTTCGCCTCAAAGTTCAACTCCTGTTAATTTACATATTATTATCAACGTTGGTTCTGAATTTCCTGCCCCATGAAAAGGCGTACAAACAATTAATTGATCACCGGGGCACAAACCTTAAGATGTCACCCTATTACAATGAATGACTCTTCTATCTTTAGACTCTAAGGGCCCGCCATTTAGGCAATTTTCGTGCTTGTGAAAGTTATTCCACTGATAGCGAGAACGAAATGGCTTCACCCCTTCTATAAATCTCTCGGCCTGGCCAAGCTAAGCCCTTGAACAGCGGCACAAGTAGTTGTGATTATTTGCTCGGTGTTCTGTGGGATAGCTGTAATTCTCGGTCTTTGAAGTCAAGAACAGCGTGTCTTCCAATACGATAAAGGTGAAATTCCTATGCTGAAACCTACATAAAGCAGATACATGTTTTTTGCAAGATTGATTTATGATGCCAGTTCCCACTTACAAGACTGCAAAAGTTATAGATCTTAAGATCTTACTCTAGTGGAAAGCATTGTTATTGCAGAACAGAAACGTGAGGAAAGGAAGGCTTAAATTTGTTTATTCAGAATTGTGCCAGGGCTCTTTCTCAAGAGCTGTTATTGATTTTTATAAGGGTGAATTGGAGTAATTTAATTTAAATTTTCCTTCTTAGTTAATGTACTCTAGTGGCAATAAAAACAGACAGACAGACAGGCAGGCAGACAGACACGCAGACAGGCAGATAGACAGGCGGTCAGTCTGACAGACAGACAGACAGACACACGGACAGACAAACAGACAGACAAATGTGTCTTTCTGTATATATAGAGGGACATAATCCTTGTTTACAAATGCAAAATATCGAGATGGAAGGCTAGAAAGTCAGACAGAAAAATAAATAAGAAAGCAGAGAGAGCGAGCGATGGAGGAGAGGAAGGGCGGAAGGGAGAGAGAGAGAGAGAGAGAGAGAGAGAGAGAGAGAGAGAGAGAGAGAGAGGGCGAATGGAGGAGGAGTAAAATGAGTGAAAAAATTCAAGGACGAATAGTAGTTTACAAAGATATCCTGGATATTCATACTTTTCCTTGGATAAATATTTTCATATCCAAAATGATAAGGAGCTAAAATTATACTCAGGCTCATACAATAAATGCATTTTCAATAGGGTACCAAAAACGAAAATAAGGACAGGGAAACATTCTTTGAGTTACGGTGTTAACGTTATAATCAAATACCAAAGTACCTGTTTGCTCAAAGCAGTCAAAATGAAGGCAGGGAAAATTATTTTTTGGTGTGTGCAAGCTTTAAGTAGGGATTAATAAAAGTGGCAGCTACTTTCAGCTACTTAACCAGCTGGGTGGACATCTTAAGAGTTGCCCAACGATTTGGTTTATGGTCCGCCATTGCATGCCTTGCTGTTTTTTTCTTTAAAAATTTTTTTACTTTTTGAAATGCCCCGCATAATCCTGGTTTGTGTGACCCTTGAAATGTAATGTTTAACGAACGCTAAAAAGTTATCCTTTCTTTACCCCCCCCCCCCCACACACACACCCACACACCCATATGCACAGCATCACACGCGCGTATACAAACCCATGCAGACACACACAAACACGTATAAACACGCAAAGGCATACACACAGACACACACGTACAAACGCACACAGACAAACGCACGCCTGCACACGAACACACACACACACACACACACACACACACACACACACACACACACACACACACACACACACACACACACACACACACACACATGCTTTGAATGTCTTATCACTGTTTTGCACCAACACACCTCCCAACAAACATATCATAGTCTTATTATCTATTGTCTTATTCCGAATAATCCCTCCTACTGTAAAATTCTAGACTTGGTGGCATCTGACACCCTTTCGTAGTTTTTATATTGTTAATGATTATTTTCTGTTCGTTTGTGCTATTCCAGAATGAATTGAATCTGCTCAGGGAAAACAATCTACGGAGCACTTCTCAATGGAAATACGTGTCAAAGACGACAAAAAGATTTGTATTATTTATAACCGTCCTGAATCCAACTCCAAATCGACTGGTGTAAACTTGCAGCAACTCAAAGAAATAATGAAGCCTCCATGCACTTCAATCATCGTTTGGATTATCCGACAACAAACTCTGCCCTTTGCGAACTCCAAAGAGAGAAAAGAATTTGCTGACATTGCGCCAGAAAAGGATTACAGCTTATTCAGAACAGGATTACCTAGTCTGTCAAGGGAAAAGGAAGTATTTCTTACTGGCCGTCTCCCGCCACCTCTGGGATCACTTGAGCAAGCAAAGGGTTTATTAAGCCGTGAACACCGTCGGCTAAGATTACGTGATTGTTAAACGACACGCAGTAACTTTAGACTTTCAGTAGAAAGGGATCACACAAACAGTCAATGATAATCCACGTACCAGTATAACAACGTTATGATCTATGCCTGTGTTAACCCTTCCGTTATAAATATATTTCATGTCCATTTCACATGGCGCCTTGGGCTTCTTTTGCGACTATTTATGTAAATGTGCTTTTTGGGGGGAATGCTCATGCGACAAGCTTAGATGCTTGAGAAATTGTAGCATGAATCTTGTAAAATTATGAAAAAAGACAATCTATTTGTGTTAGTAGGCTGAAAATTTTACAAAGTAAGATGATAATAATAATAATAATAATAATAATAATAATAATAATAAATGATATTTATATTGTGCTCAAACCCGCTAAAGTACACAGGGTCTGAGCGCTTTACAATACAGTACAACGTACAACAGTAACATAAAACGCTGTGTTCTGACTAAAGAAAATTATTCCAAATATTAATCTTATTAATTTAAAAATAGAAACGACTTGGTGGCATCTGACACCCTTTCGGAGTTTTTATATGGTAAATGATTATTCTCTGTTCGTTTGTGCTATTCTATAATAAATTGTATCTGCTCAGTGAAAACATTCTACGGATTACTTCTCAATGGAAATACATGTCAAAGACGACAAAAAGATTTGTATTATTTATAACTGTCCTGAATCCAACTCCAAATCGACTGGTGTAAACTTGCAGCAACTCAATTAACCACATAAGCAAATATGGATGCAGGCAAAAATGGTAAAGTATGGTTAAAAGATTATATTGCCAGTATGATGTACACAGCGCATGTCTTTAAACCAGATTAAGTTTCCTGTGTAGACGAGGGGAGCTGTTCTCAGGTGTTGTTCCAAGCACTCCGAGAGCAGGCCACTTCTCCAGGGTCAAACATTCAAGTGATTCTGGTGCTTTGGCAACAATGAACACCCGTCTTTTCTAAGCCCCTTTTCCTTTTTCCTTTCATATTCTCTTTCTTTCCTCTTCTCTTCCCCCCCATGCCATTCTCTCCCCCCCCCTCTCTCTCTCTCCCCCCCTCTCTCTCTCTCTCTCTCTCTCTCTCTCTCTCTCTCTCTCTCTCTCCCCCCCTCACACACACACACACACACACACACACACACACACACACACACACACACACACACACACACAAACACAAAGCACGTACACACACAAACACACACACACTCTCTCTCTCACCCCCTCAATCTAAATGACATAAAAAAGAAACAACCATTCCTCTATCATCCTTTTGATACATATTATTTTCTCATTATCTTTTTCTCGCTCTCCTTCTTTTTGTGTCATTTGCTTTCTTTTCAACATTTATGTTTCCTCTTCGACCAAGTGATAGCTAGTGGTTGGATTGAGTCCCTGGTAGATCCCTACGTCTTAACTCACCCTCTGTATTTTTTGTCGATTGGTCTTGCTCTTTGCAAACACCAAATGATCGATATCTTGTCCATGAGCGTGCACCTCTTTATTCAAAACAAAGTAGTAAAGTAAACTACAATTAGTGCTCCTTTAAAACAGCTCCCTCGACAGTCACAGGACAATGTCATGGACGTCACCACCAGCATTGATAACAACGTTTTTGTTTTGTTTCCCAAATACAAGTTATTTTAAAATAATAATAATAACAACACTATTATTTGCATCTGCTCTTCAATACACGATGTGCCACTCCTTAAAATCAGAAGCTCAGTAACTTAGTAGTTGACAACTTTACTCTCCTTTGCGCTTTGTTATTTTCCTAAATCTGCATGATGAGGAGTAGTGAACCATCTTACGTACAATTTAAATCAAAACAAAGGAAGCCAAACGATACATACATTGAAAGTATATGCTGAGAAAACTGTGTGTGTGTGTGTTTGAGGGGGGGGGGGGGGGGGGGGAGCAGACCCTGAAGTAAAGGAAGAAGAGAGAGATTTCCATAGTTATGCGAATAAAATAATACTATTTATTTTATAAAATTCTGACTGCTTGTAATGCATATAGAATCTAGATCTAGATAAAACCAAAGATAGTGAATAACAAGATGGGCCACTCAGCCAAAAAAGTGTCCGCAGGAAGTATGCTCTTTGCTACAGATGGCGCTGCAGTCTGTTTTGAAGCTCTCTTTCGTTTTTCCAGAAGAAGAATAGGAATAGCACCTCCTTGCGTGCGCAGATCGACTGCTGTTCATCAGCAGTTCGGGTACGTTCAGTGCGGAGTTTTAGTTTAAAAAATGTTAATGACCTCTCGCCTTTCATTCTAAAGTCAAATTAAACGAAGAAAACCATCACCCTTTCCTCCGGAAGATGTTTTTTGCCAGCGTAACCATTTTTAAAAAGCGTTCTTCCGAAATTTATCCCAAAACTTGCTAGTTTCACTTTGATTTTTTAAAACTCAAGTAGGGTAACTCTGTTCACAAAGAGTGCGCTTTTGTGAAGAGGGCGCCACCAAATTTTGAGGACACTTTTTTAATTGGCTCAAAGAGAGAAGTGGCCCATCTTGTTATGTACTATCATTGATAAAACACACGCATTTGAACAGGTACGCATCGCAGCTGAACGCTCAATGATACAAACCACAAAAGTCAGCTACGGGCGGAAGTTGTCTGAGGCCGATCAATGCCATTTTTAAAATCCTACCAAGTGTTGTACCATCTGGCCAAGGCAGCCACGGTGGTGGCATTAGCGTAAGTATGACGTCACTTCTCTGCATTTTTAGTGGGAACAGATAAATCGTCATCTATCCTATTCATCTTATAAATTATTAAGTTAGATCTAATTCAAAAGAAGCCCGGCACTGACAGGAAATTAACTTTCATTGTGTTCATTGTTTCGGGAAGCAACATCCCGGCATTCCGGGCATGTCCATAGATGCTCTGTTGCCCTGTTGCTCTCTCTAAAATGTCGCTGATGGTATTTCTACGGATTGTGCCAGTGCATATCTGGTTGAAAGTTCTTCTGTTCTTTCTTGCAAGGATGCCAGAGTTTCCGCTTCCTTTTTGTATTCCCAAAACCATCATGATCATCCTCTCCATAGCAGTACTGGCCTCTGCCTCCTTATCTTCCTCTTCAATCAGGTGGCGAGAGAAACATTTCAGGATCTCCACCTTGTCTGGTTGAACCGTGCTGTCAACTGAAGTGGCCTCACCAGCCAGTCTGTCGACCTTTTCATTTCCCTTAACGACTGCATGGCCAGGGCAGGAAATCCATGTGAGCTATCGTATTGGCGTTGCTTCGATCAGTTGAATCCATTCTGGTCTCAGGAATCTGTGATGAGACCAGCATTGGTTGTGTGGGGACGATCCTGGGTCATCCATTCAAGTGCTTTCATGATGGCTTCAATTTCCATTCACATATTTGATGTGGCCCTGCTGCGGGCTCCGGATGCACTGTGGATGATTTTATTGTTGGCGAATGCAACAAATCCCCATCCACTTCTCTGGCTATCTCTTTTCATAGAGCCATCTGTATAAATTACACGAAATTAACCAAATCGATCTAATACCCTAGATTTTATAATCGTTCGTTACGGAAGTCCTCCCAAAGTAAAGAAAGTAAACTGGTTTAGTGTTATTTTGTGTTCTTTTGGCGTCCTTTGTCTCTTCAACTGCAATGTGAATCAGTGACATGTTAACATTTGAAAGCATACAAAATATTACATAATTGGAAAAAATCTGCACACATTCGAACCTGTCAGTGAAAGAAGCAAACATGGTTAGTAATCCAAAAGCTTACCACAATGCCAAAGCGCCGATGATACCAGCGGGTCAAAAAATTTCTTAAGAACCTACTTGAGTGAAGTGGGAGTGTATCACCTTTCAAAATTCCCAAAATGCAAAATTATTAGTTGTTTTCTTTTTTACCTCGAAGGGTTTTGTCGAGGTTCCTTCGAAAAATTGCGAAAGCTGATGCAATAGGCTTTAATGAGAAAAAAAAGTAAATTTCTAAGTCAACTCTACCTCATTTGCATTAAAGGGGGGACTTCTGTTTCTCCGTACCTGTCTACCTTTGGGTTTTTTCATGCGCTGGTGTCGCGGTAAGGGACGAAATGAAATAATATTATTATCATTATGACTACGAATCTGAAAAAGAATGATTCGCAATGTCTAGATCTACAGAAAGTTACACTGACAAGCGTTTCTCTTTTTACGTAGGGTTAAGACAGTGAAGGATGCGGATTCGATTTTCCCGCCATCTGGGGTAAATGTAGGTTTACCGTGTCGTCTTATCGGGTGAATAGTATGCTTACTGTGTGGTCTTTCAACCGGGAAGCACGGCCAAAGCAGCCAGCCCCCAAAACAGACTGGTAATTTGTCTATTTTCCATATAATTTTTTTTTTAATCGAAAAAGCGATTAGGAATAGAAGAAAAGGGGAAGGGGAGAAAAAAAAGGGTGGGGGTGGGGAGGGTGTAATATATTTCCATCTAAGAAGAATTAAGGAAGTGATAAACCTGCTCTATTTATGGATCGTTTGCAAACACTTTGGAACACGATGTGTGGGCAGAAGGTCATTCCTGCGTAGGCATCTTACGTCAAGATGACGTACGCTTACAGTACGTTGCGGTCTCACTTACAGATGAGTGCTCTAATGAGCGGAAAGATGGACCGGCCCACAGATTGCAAATACAGTTCCCGTCGATGACTGTAGGTCACAATGCCACTGTAGGAAAGGGATTGGTAGGAAACCAAAGATACACAAAGTTCACGGGGTGCAGTGTATTAACACCCCCGTACTCCTTTTCTCTCTCTGTCTCTCTGTCTCTCTCTGTCTCTCTGTCTCTCTGTCTCTCTGTCTCTGTCTCTCTGTCTCTCTCTCTCTCTCTCTCTCTCTCTCTCGTATTTGATACATTTCTTTCAAATCAAATGAATTTTAGAAGCCATCGAACTGGTACACAATGAAGCTACAATTTAGGGCGTTGAGGCTCTGCAATCTTTTTTGTCTAAATCTTTGATGCTGCGCTCCGAACTGATGTTGTGTCCTTCACACTGAAAACATAGAGCGTTGCGTAAATTCATATCATGAATGAGTAGTGTACAAATTATTAATCAGACATTCTAGTTTCACAGTTTCCTGTACTGTTGCTGTTAGTGGTACCGGTTATGTAATAATAAATGTAATAATACGACATTTGTTATGATTGCAAATATTTTGAAGAGTACATTATTTCTTCCCTTCCTGTAACTGCAACATGACGGAATTCAAACTAGATAACCTTTATGATTGAAATGTTCGATTTGCAGATTTTATTCAACGCCGCGTTTCAGAGGTACATAATTAGTCTAAATAAACTGCTCCAGAGACCATGTCATGTAGAGGAAGAGATTTGGTCAAGGCGATTCCTGTTTGGTTTAGAGAAGCGTACGCTCACCAATTCAACCTTCCATCCTAACCCAATCATGAAGATTGGACTAACTGAATAAACGCTTCCACTTCTTTAGCATCACACTGTTGTTTTAGTTTAATGATACTCATTCATAGCCAGGGCTGCCCTCGGCTTGTTCCCATAGCGGAACGTTTATCCTGGATACTTCTGTTTTCACAAAGGTTTACAAGCTGTGCGTGTAGTCGGTACAGGGTAGTAATCGAAGACATGACCTCGGAGCGCGTGCACTTATTATTGTGTCAATATTCCCGGTCGAATCAATTACTGCGCTTACACAGATCGGAGTGGCATGCCGCCGTAGAGTTTGCATGCAAATAAAACTTTCGACCTTAGCCGTGAAAGTCTGTATTGTATTAGAAAATTCTCTACCAGAGCCTTATTATCTTACGTGAAGTTGGATGCTTTCTTTCAAGTAAAGATTACGTGTCTCTACGCTCTTGCGCGTGGTGCTTGTTTCAGGGGGACGTCGAAGGTTGAAGGAGGGTTTACAAATTTACTCCGTGTCACGATTGGGCGTGTCAGAACTTCTGACAGGCTGGCAGAGCTACACTTACGGCTCTGGGCAAGAGTATCTTTGGAAAATTGTTTTACATAGGAAAACACGCATTGTAACACTACTCTGATATGCCACATTTTATTCACCAACTACTTGTATTCATAACTTCGGTTGTATTATTGAGAGGTAAGCATAGCAAGACTTTTCATGACAGCACTTTCTCTCAAAGTTCTGCAAAGAACAGCAAAAGAAACGGAGTATTTAGGAGAAAATCAGAACCTGTTAGAGAGCTTTACTAAACTTTAACCCATTGCAAATCATTCCCATGCAACTGGCATATTATTATTTCCAGTGTCTTGGTCTTTTCAAATTCGAATTGTAACCTCTCTGCTTACGTTCAAGAAGGTAGCTTATACGGTTTGCTCTTTCGAGCGCAAAACAAAAATATAATCTTGGCTTTCAAAAGCGAATGTATATTTATGAAGAAAGAGAGAGAGAGAGAGAGAGAGAGAGAGAGAGAGAGAGAGAGA